ACGGGGAAACATTCCTGGTACCATCCAGCTTAACCACATCCCCAGTATTTCCCGACGTATTGTAACTGGCTTCCATCAGTTCGGTCAGCGGCGAGATAGAATCAAGCTCGACGTTCGGTACATGAAGACTGCGTGTTGTCGCGTCAGGCTTTGCGTCTTTCTCGGCTATCTCTCCAACCATTGATACACTTGCTGTCTGCTCTGGTAGTCTTTTACCTTTCTGCTGAGCACAATACCGAGCGGCCCAAAATCCGAACCCAACAGCGCAGACAATGATGACCAGACCGCCGCAAACACCGATGGCGATGAATGCTCCGGTGGATAGGGGCACACTTGGTCCGGCCAGTCCAGCCGACCCGTTCAAGCTGATAGGTGTAGTCGACGTAGCTGATGCAGTTGGTGCAGCAGTTAATGCAGTCGGCGCAATTGATTCTGCCGATCCAATTGATTTTATCGGTTCAACAGTCACAGTCGTCGTTCCAGCAAACCGGTCCTCAGAGCGCCACACGAGCTGCACAGCGGGAGCCCGTACAGCCGCCCTCGTCACTGACTCTGTGCGACCAATGTGAACAGACCGCATCCCATCGGTAGCGTCGCATGTCATGTACGTGAAGTCGCCGTCGCTCGTGTGCCAATAACAACCCGGTGGATTCTCAAAAGTGTACCCCTTCGTAGCCGCGTACATGCCGAGGCCAACAGTGAGATCTTGAGGGCAACAGAAGGCAGCCGTCTCATCGTCGCGGAGCAGAGAGCGAACTTGCTCAGGGCCGTCCGTTCCGCTGATTACCTCGCCCGGGACTACCGTTGTGACTACCTCGTCCCGGGCTACCGTTGTGGCGGTTGTCCAGCCGTATGGACACAGGATACCGGGGGAATAAAAGCCCCAATAACTAAACGGACTGTTTGGGTTATGGCTTCCCAAGGGGGCGCTGGGTAGGCAGGGCCGAAAACCCTGGCAGTCTCGGTCATAGGCATAACCGCCTACCCCACTGGCGCTCTCCGTCTCGGGGGTTGTCGAGGCCTGGTTCCACCAGTAAACAAGCGCGCAGTCTGACGGCGGGAAGAAAGGGGTAGTCAAGGGCCCTATGTTATACCGAGTAGGCGATGTTGCCACGGACGATGCCATTGTGCTCATACAAACGACGACGATCCCTTCCTGTAATTAACACCAGATCGTAAATAGATTCAATGAGAAAGGTGTGAATACAGGCCCTGGTTCTGGGGGGGTTCTTGTTTAAATGCCTTGACAATCATTCAAGCTAATCAAACCTGTCCGCAGTGTTGCGTACTGCAACGGGGAGGGGAAAAGGGAGCCTGCAGAGCTATCGTGAATCCGTGCTACCGTCCCTCGAGTTGGAGATCGCTGTCACGGTTTATATCAGGAAATTGCGCGGCTGCAAGGCAACCAACTTCGTAGCACAATCTGCCGTACCAATGTAGGCACAGGAAATGAAAGGAAGAATTTGTCGACAAACCAGCCAAAATGGTACCTGTCACGGGCCACTTACACGGGTATCCCGTTGTGCAAACCCTCGGAAAAGAACAAAGTTGTGGTTGTTCTGAGAAGAATCACCGAAGCAACGTGAGACATTACCATCTCCTGGTCCAGTCGGCATGATCTTGGGCCTATCGAGTATCCTACTAGCCAGGTACAAATCCTCAGATGCGCTCTCCGCGTATTACAGGTACGGATACCAAACATTGTCACGAGTGATTCACAAGCACAGATCCCGAAGACCTCCCCTCAGAATTGCAACAACATGATGATGCACTGTAAGACATGTTGAGATTAATTAGGCGGTTAGCAGCAGACGCTCATTGTCATCAAACTCACGATTTGAATGTCCATGACCCCCTTAGGATGAGTTGCGGTACCAGCATGTTGACGGCACAGATCTGTCGGCCGGTAGTCAATTACGCGATGCCTCATCCGCACATTGACAATCCTCCAAACACTCCATCGCGCGTCGGCCCGAGTCTCTTTTACCGCGTCCCAACCATCGGGCCGGCTCCACTCAATGGCAAGTCCCGCCAGCTCCATCCTGGTCGCGCGTCCATATATGTACTATGCCAATGTGCAGCGGGGGCCTTGGCACGGCTGTTTGGCTGCTCCTTTGTCCACCTCCTTGGCGCCACTCCAGTGATCCTCGGCCTTTTCATATGACTGTCGCAAGCCGGCCGCCACCTCCTTGACAGTATTGGCCCAGGGCCCTAGGTCATCTGGCTTCAGCTAGAGGGGGGCCTTCTTTTCCTCCCCGCCTGCGCCTAGGACAACGACTCCAAGGGGCAGGTGGTCTGACCCTGTGGCGAAGGACTTCACTACCCGATCGTATGCCTCTAGGTGTGTCGGGACTTGCTAGAGCGGCACCTTTACTTTTGCCTCTTGATTTTTTCCATACATAGCCCTAACCCTGCAGTGGAGGAGTGCCGAGATAGCAGAGGCCCGCTCTAGCAAGTCCCTAGTATATACTATAATGGACGTTCAGCTGCAGTATATTCTTGATCCATTTTAAACAAGACGTTCTCCTTCACGCCGGTATCTCGTCGCCCTGTGTCGCCGCCACAGACGGTATATCGGCTTCAAATACACCGCAAGGCATCGCCGAGGGAGCTCATGAGCTACCGGCGCGGCGAGTTGTACAGGGATCGACCTGTCTTTGGCTCGAAGTGAGCTGGCACACCTGTTGGAATAGTCCTTTTTGGAAACTGACCTTGGAAAGATTATCCGCTGAACTTTAGTAAAGCTAAGGGGATTCTATCCTTATGGAACCCTTATTGATTGTCCATCTATTCTTCACACTATCTTCTGAGATAGTAGACTTGTCGACTTGCTCTTGCACTCTGTGCTTGGTGATCCTGTCCTTGACTGCTGTGAGGAGCCCTGTGGTGGTTTGGATGCAACGATACAGCGAAGCGACCTCCCTCTTCTTCAATTGATCTGCAACTGCAAATCATCGTGTTATCTTCTGTTTGGTCATTCCATCTCCCTGAACAATTTGACCGCCCGACACTGTACGGGTCATCGTTATAGCTCTACAGTCTTATCCTACAGTTGATCACTCACCTTGTCGTTGTCACTCCCGCTACACCTTGAATCTTCACCTCGGTGTGGTGCTAGTGTCACAGATGGCTAGAGACCTATTATAGGCTTAGGTTAAGAAGATGATTTTACCCTATTAACCTTAGGTAAGCCTATCAGTATGATACCATTTTTCTCTTATAAAGACTTGTCTATAAGACTGTGACATAGGTCCAGAAGTGGAGTGTGACGACATTGAATCGTAAGTCAGGGTCAACATGGTGAGGTTTGTGATGGAAGAACCATAGCTTTGGTGTGAGTCATGTCATGTGCTTGCAGTCAAGAGAGTCACCCCGGCAGTGCTGTTGGTTCGATTGTAGGCCCTTCACACTCAAATCAGAACAGAGCTCCTCACACCAGACAAGGGCAGGATCACCAGGCACTTGTGTGCGAGAGCAAGCCAACAGGTGTGTTGTCTCAGAAGATGCAGCGAGAATGGAGCGATAGAGAACTGTCGTCGCAACGCAAAGTGGCAACAAGTCAATCGTGCAAGAAGGTGGTGAACAGCGAAGTGTGTCAATCCCAAATCATTGGTCTTCCAAGAAGTTCAAACCGATAATTCTTTCAAGGTCGGTCGAAGACCTAGGTTCTTGACCATGGTGAATCCAGCAGTGTGACAATCGGTGTTACCTTTTTAGACCTACTTTATAATTACAGAAAAATCCACCCCAGACCTAAATCATTTAAGAAACGGATGATGCCGTGATTATCAGGGGTTAACTAGTGGTTCTTATTATAGATTTATAAGCTTTCAATCCCCAAGTAAATTTCCACGAATAATGAAACAGCTAAATACTCAACTTCTCGAGCTCTTCAAGTAAATACCCTTAAAACTATTATCCCTTAACTATAGCCTACCCCTGCTAATTCTTATTCATAGTATGTTTAGTTAATAAATGACATAAATCGTCACTGGCCTTTATCCTTATTAACAACTTTATTAACCTCTGGTAACGTATTTTATAAGCGAGCGCCCCATATAAGCGAACGCCCCACGCAACTAACTTGCAACAAGGAGTAAGGCACTTTGTACCTTTCTTGGTGCGTGCAACCGCGCTCTGTGTGATCTGTTCGCAGATCACATAGATCAAGAAACCATGTAAACCGCTCTGTGTAATCTGTTTGCAGATCGCACAGATCACTTAAAATCACATGACAAATCATGTGATTCCACTTCCCAGAGTGGGATGTCACACATGGTCCTCCCTTCCTAGATCTGCCCTGAAGATCTGCCATAGCTCCACTATATGAGTGAGCTTACCCTGCCTTCTCAGGTCACAACTTAGTTCATCCTATCTTTCTTTTTTGCAATGGGTTGTAAACGAAAGAATCCTTCTTCTGATCCTGAACCTAGTACCATATGTTGTCTTCGTTCTGCTAACAATGCTTTTTTGTTTGGTTCCCTGATGCCTTTATGTACTTGTTGCAGTGACAAGGGTCTTGAGTGTAAGGTAGCCAAGGACTCTTGGCGCTGTGGTTCTTATGCTTTGTCAAATGCTGCTTCTTGTGATATAGCAGGCCTAAGTCAGTCAAAAGAACAAACTTGATGAAGCTGAAGAAAAGGCCTTGTTGGACAGTGTGGAGGCTCAGGCGAGGCTTCTCTGACTATGTAAGCAATGATGTGCCTTGGAGGAGAGGGCTTGTAAGGCATTTGCTTGGGAGTCTTGGGACATTGTGGAACTTGAAGTGTTGGAGCAGGTGTCTGCTTTTCCTATTCCTGACTTTTCTCTTGCTTCTTGGCTTGACCTGGAACTCCTGAATGACATGGGTCCTATGACTGGTTCCTCCTCTGACCCTGGGTAAGCACCCTTTCTTTCCTGACAGTATAAGGAAAAATTGGAAATTTGTGTATTAATGCCTTGTGTCTAGGCGTGTTGGGTCTTTATAGGTTGTTGTAACCCAGGCCATTTTCAATAATCCTGTCCCTGTGGTGCAGTGGTAGTATGCTTTGCTCTTGTATATAGGGTAACTTATGTATGTCCCTTATCCAGTATAGTATTGAAGAGGTTAGCGGTTTAATTCCTTCTGGGGGCACTTTTCTTTTTTGGTTTATTGAGATTCAGGCAGTAGAAGTCCTTGACTAACTCTGGACATGAGAGTCCTGTGTGTGGTTCCTAAGAGTTATCTGCAGGTCCATAGCCAAGCCACTTGACTAGATACTGCAATACTCTTTTCTTGAATTGTAAATCTAGAACTTCCTCCACTTTAAATTTTTCTTTGTCTGCTTCCACTTCCAGGGTTTTCTCCAGTGAGATACTCTTTGGTACTGGTTCTAGTAGTGATACATGGAAGACTCTGGTCCTGACTCTTATGGTTTTTGGTAGGTCTAACTTGTAGTTTATTATTGTTACCTTCTTTTTGATCTGGAATGGTCTATACCTTTTGAAGTCAAGCTTCCTGCTTGGCTGTTTTGTCTTTAAATTTCTGGAAAACAGGTAGACATGGTCTTCCTCTTCTAGAGTTGGTCCCTTAATTCTATGTTTATTATAGTAGGTCTTTATTCTTTTACATGTATGTTTAAGTTCTTCTTTTAAGAGCTCTATGAGTTTTTGGATTCTGTCTGCCCTGACTCCTGCTTTTGGTGCTTTACAGGGTGGTCCTCTTTGGAGTTCAGGTTCTTGTCCATAGATGGTAAAGTATGATGACACTTTTATGGATTCTACCATTATTATATTATAGGCTAGCTGTGCTATTGGCAGTAGCTTTAGCCAGTTGTCTTGTTTAAAATTGACATATGTTCTTAGATATGTTTCAAGGGTCTGGTTAAGTCATTCTATCTGTCTGTCTGTCTGTGGGTGGTGGGCAGTTGAGAGTTTGCTCTTTACTCTTATTCTTGTCATTAGTCCTTGCTAGAAGGTAAGTCAGGTGGGGGGCTTTTGGAACACCCCTGCCTTTGGAACAGCCCTGAGTCGGACCCCGCACCACACCACAAACTTTAATTGCCCACAACTTCGTCAATTAGATAGCTACGATAATATAGTCTTCAGTATCAGAATTGCCTGATTCTTCTCTTTCAGAATCACTAAGGTCATCCCTGCCAGCCTCTCTCTGTGAGGCACGAACCTCTTCAATTCCAGCGAATTGCATGTTAGGGTCGACTTGGACCTTCCGTCTCTTTCGGCCTCTTGTGCGTTCCAGGCTTTTTTCTGCAGCCTCTAATTGATGCGCCGTATTGGCCAGTTGAAAAACCACGTTATCAAAGGCTTTTGCGGCCTTGCGGATAAAAAGCCGGTCGCTGGCGGTCCGTTTCTGGCCGGCTAGAAAAACCTGCCCCTGAACCCGGAAATCCTTCGGCTTTTTAGGGGTAAACCACACAGGCCGGCCCTCTGAATTCTTACCCAGAATAGGGTTATGGACCTCTTGAAGGTCTATAGAAACCATGAAGGTCACCTGACCGACTTCGCCATTGGAATTCTTAATAATGAGGCTGTTGCTTAGGGGCTTCCTTAAACTGACTGGCCACAGGCCTGTAGCTCTCCAGCCGGCTCTGATGTTGGATTTGGTCATTCCATAGACCCTGGCTTGACGGTAGCATTCTAGAAAGGCTCACTTTTCAGCCACAGTGCCTTTGTCAAAGCCAGAAACCACCTTGTTGTGCCTGGCTCTGTACTTGGCCTTCAGGGGGCTGAAAACGGATAAATCTAAGGGCTGGAGAATGTGGGAGGTGTGGGCTGGCAGAAATAATAACTGTACATTATTTGAAAAGGCCAGCCACATGAATTCTTCGGTGGTATGGCTGCCGTGGCTATCCAAAATAAGGAGGCGCTTCTCTGAGGGGGTGGCTGGCCGAGTCTCTGGAAGAAAGATATTACAGAGCCAGGCAATGGCAGTGTTATTGTCAGACCAGCCGTTTTCAGTGGTTTTCCACTTCCAGTCCTTAAATGGCCGTAAGTCGCGTGGATACCACTGTTGTTGAAGGCTTCCACCCTTAAAAATGACGAATGGGTTCAAATACCGGCCGTCAGCAGAGATACACTTGATAATTGAGGTCCAGATTTGGTCTCCTTTCTTCTTTTTCTGGAATTTTTTTCTTTCCTTAGAGCCAACGACCAGACCGTTATCTCCAATGCCAGAAGCAATGCCAGTTTTGTCCATATTATACCTATACTTAGGTGGAATGGCCTCTACACCTGGAAGCTTCAGGTAGTCAAACCAGGGCCGAATAATGGCCTCACAGGCTCGATCAGCACGGCTAGCGTGGATTCTACGAGGCCTTTTAGTAGAGATAGAGGGGTTTCTGGCTAAAAACCGGCTGGTCCAGCGTTTTCTGAGGTTCTCGTCGTCTCCAAGCATTCTTCTGGCCAGTTTCCGAATTTGGGCGTGGGTTGGAGGGTGACCGAGCGACCCCTGGAATAAAATCCATTCTGTCAAACGTTCTTCCATGGCCGGAGAGAGCTTTTGATTGATAATTTGGGCCTTGGAGGCTGGCTCAGAACCGCGAACCCGATTAAAGAGAGAGGTAGGGGGTATGCTATGGTTTTTAGCAGAGCTGCGGAGTAAGCCAGTTTCTACATACTCCACCAGCGCATTCTGTAAATCTAATGCAGTATATCGCTTCATTATTCAATTCTAAATCGAATGAGGAAAATAGGGAAAGGATTGGAGCAGAATTAGTTGGGTTGTGGGCATTTGAAATAGGTGAGTTGGCGAGTCACTGCTGACAAATCTTGTTCCAAACCTAGGGGTGTTCCAAAAGCAGACCACCTGACTTATAAGGAAGGCTCTCTGGCAGAGTCAGAGAACAGAGAAGAGGGAAGACCATCGAGCAGTTGCAACCCCATCAAATCCACAAAATCCAAGAGTGCCGTGCTATCTAACATGTGCCTCTTAACAGCACTGGGCTTCGTCCCACAATCCAAGCCGCTAGAATTATTTATATTTCCAAATATGAGTGCGTCGAGTTTCAACCGACTCGAGATATAATTATACAGATGAAGGCAGCGGTGCTGGCCATGGCGAGGAAGGCTTTGGTACAATAAAAGAGGACAAGTCCACTCCAGTATTCCCAGTCGATTTCTGCTGTGCATATACAGTCACCTGGTATGTTCCCGGACACGATGCCAGGAGTGATCCCGTAAACCTCCCAGCAACGCCCGCCTTCGCATCCCAAGATAAGGTCACTGGAGTTGAGTTTCCCGAGATAACGGCTGACGCGTCGAAGTCATCCGGAAGCCAAGGTTGGGAGCTGGCATCGCCCGAGCAGACTTGTCCGGCGGCCTTGACGCTGATGGGACAGCCGCACATCATTGCCACGTTGGCGACAATCGGGACATCGAACGGCAGCTGTCCTAGAAATACGGTGTGTGTCGGCGGGCTGATGATTTGACAGACGAGGCCGGGCATTTCGAGAAGTATCCCGTTGCCCGCCGTGATATCTTTGCCGGGATAGATCCAAGAAGTGGCTGAGACGGTATTTGCTGACCCGCGAGCCGCGAGAGGCCCGTAAGCGGTCACCTCAATCTGCATGGGCGAGGCGAGAGAGAGAGATACCTCAAAGGTTGAGGTGGTGCCGGTGACTGTGCCTATGATGGACTGACTGCGCGTGAGACTGACGCACATCAGGTTCGGAGGACCAGAATCGCCTCGTGTCACGCCTGAAGTAAGGATCTCCCGAGTACGAACATCACGGATTGTGACTTCCGCGCCGCCGACGTCGTCTCCTAGGAACTTCCCACCCACTGCAATCACGTAAACGGTGACGGTTGTAGACTTCGGCATTTTGTTTCTTCTTCGAGGATAGAGAGTTGGCTAATTGACGGGGTGGTGTCTTCGAGAATGGAAGGCGAGCGGAGGGCAGGAGGGTTGAAATAGCCAAGCACCGAGGGTTCACGTTCTTCAGCTCCCCCTCTGCCGAACCAAATGCAGATAGCCAATGGGCTGGTATGTGTCTAACCAGAATGAACACGGTGCATCAGACAGAAACTCTCCTGTCACCTTCCCAAAGTGTCGCGGCAAGCGTTCAAACTAATGCGGTATCTAGCATTCAGCTGGTGTCTGACGGCGGCAACGCTCGCTTCGCCCCGTCTGATACGCCCAAATGCAACCACGCCCCATGGTGAATGTGCTCCCTTTGGACAAGGTGGCTGCATCATGCAAGAGTTAGCAGCTGAAAAAAGGTAATATCTTGGAACACCGTGCTTGCCTCGGCCGACGTGCGTAATTCTCAGTCTATTTTATCAGCGCCACCTTTTCTTCCGAGTAAGAAGCATCCATCTTACGGAAACTAGGAGGGAGAAGGTCGAGTTGCCGTTTTTATCCATTGAGGCGCCATTTGCATTCGTACGGATAGCATCTTCAATCATGTAACCACCGGCGCACGCGAGCGCAAGCGCGCATGCGGCCTCAGGCCGGACCCCCAAACCCCAATCAATATACGCGGGAACTGACGAGTTAACTGGCGGTATGTCAACTTGTGCGCGCCTTTTGGCAGAGCGGTCAGTTGCGTCAGTTCCCCGCATTTGCGGCCGTGGATCGCGCGCCCCGTTATAACCAGAGGGCGGAGCCTAATGCATGTCTCCAGTGGCCAGGTAAGCAACACGAAAAAGTAAAGGCAAAGCTGTTCATTTTCAAGAATGGGGACTGATTTTGGCCATCTCTATGTATGGGGCCAATTCTGGGCCCACTCGGCTAGAGTTGAAGCAATTCAGCATGCTGCGGCGCAGCCTGCCGAAAATGGTACTTAGCCTGAGTAAAGCCTGAGTAAAGACTGAGCCGGGCCTGAGCCGAGGTGAGCAGTGTCACGTGGGCGAGATACAAAAAAAAGGGAATTTTATGTGCCCAGATTCGTCTCATACAGCAAACGGCGCGGTGGGAGTTGCGAGTGGGAGGGGAGTGGTGGTTGGAGGGGCGTTGGCTGTGGTTGGGCTTGGGTTGATATGATTGACTGCCCGTGGAATGGCTGTGTGCTTGTACAACACATTTCAGCGCTGGGGTGCGTTGTTTTAGAAAACCGTTGGAGGGCGTACAAGGGAGTGGTTACATTGCCTTTCCAATCAATTCATCGAAGGCAGCTGTCAGGACACTTTGTGCAGGAA